TAATGAAGCGTAAACTCCACGAAGACAGACTGTGCCTGGTTGTGCTCACTCTCCTATCCCCAGCTCCTAGCACCCAGTCAGGTGCATTGAATGTTTTCTGAGTTACTGACTGACAAAATGAATGAATGAATGAAGACTGAGCCATGTGTGCAGAAGAGGATCTAGAAGTGAAAAAGAGCTAGAAGGTTCAGTGGTTGACTCCTAATCCTCCTAGTTCTGTGTTTTCATTTTCTTCAAAATGACCTTAGATGTTCTCCACATCTAATGCTTTATTTAACATCCAAAATGAAAGGCAAGGGAATCTCACAATGCAGACATTATTTAAAGTTCTTTAGGGTGACATTTTAGCAAGCAACATTATATTCCATCAGACTGGAGGAAGCAGGGAAGGAAGGTTAAGGAGATCCCTGCAACATTGGTTAAGCACCATGCAATAAGCCAAAAATTAAAAAAAAAAAAGGAAGAAGATGAAAATGTTTGACCATTTCATGTACTATTTATTTTATTCTCACAAAAACCTTATGGCAGATTTTTTTTCCCATTTTTTACTGTGGTAAAATACATACAAAAGTTTTCATCATAACCATTTATGACTATGCCATTCAGAGGTATGAATTACATCCATGTTATTGGAGCACCATCCAGCCCCAGAAACCTTTTCATGTCACAAAACTGAAACCATATATCCATTAAACACTGACTTCCCATTCATCCCCACTCTCTCAGGCCCTGGCAACCACCATTTTACTTCTGCCTCTATGGTTTTGACTACTTTGGATACTTTGTATAACTAAAATTCATTTAAGGAAATTACTCATAGGACGGACGGACTTCTGTCACTTTTACCGTTTGTGTTGAATATGTCTTGTAGTTTTTTATCCCTCATTTTCATGGAAGAAATCTTATCTCTATTTTATGATTAAGAAAACAGAAGCTTTGAGACCAACAGATGGTGTAATGGTTACATTGCAGGACTTCAACATAGTCAACCACAGTTTGAGTCCCGGACCAGGAGGCTTAAAACTCACAGCATGCGTGTGTGCATGCATGCCCAAAATCCCAAAAGGAGAATGCAGGTGAAGGAATTGCAGCATGCCCATTCCCCCAGAGGGTGATTTCTTGCTTTCCATCTCTGTCTCTCCAGTGAGTACACATGCCCTATAACAAAAATCTCTCTCTTAAAAAACAAAGAAAAATAGCTTCAAAAAACTAAGTAAACTACCCCAGGTCACAGGCTAACAAGAGGCAGACACAGAATCTTCTGACTCAAGAGCCCTTGATTCTTCCCCCATCCATGTGCTAGTTTCTCTTTTTTAAGTTATTTATTTCCTCCATGAGTGAGCAAGAGAGAGAGAACATGCACACTGTCAAGATGGCCTTCACCCTGTGATCCACCCCCAGCTTCAGCCAGCCCCACATCCTGAGAATGCCTGTGCCTGGTTTCCTCAGGGAGGTCTCTAGACTTGAACTAGGAACCTACCCATGTGAGATTGCCTCCTAGAGCATTGCATTGCATTTCACTGTTGTACCACTGTCCTGCTTCAGTGACTGTTAGCTTTCTAAGCACTGAGGAAATGCAACATTGCTTCAATGCACAACAGTTTTCTTAGGAACATTAGAGAGAGGCGGATAAAAGCATTTCTAGAAGTGCAGGAAAACACCTCTCAAGATTCCAAGAAGGAACAAGACACTTTCCCAATGATACAGAGCATATGTGCAACGAGAACTCAGAGCAATCATTTTACACTGCCTCGCCTACCACAGATGTCCATGGATCAAATGGACTGAATTGGATCTGATGGCTCTGTGCTTAATGTCGTTTGAAGAGAATTACAGAGATCCAGCCCCGTTCCATGAGAACTACCCTGCAGAGCAGACAGATTTGGCTATACACAATCCGTACTGTAATAATGGGTACACTATTGGCCCAGAGTTTGCCTAATAAGATATCCCTGAATTATGAAAAATATTTGTCCATAATGATGCTATTTGCAGTATTTTTTATGACAGTGAAAACCTGAAATGCAAAGATTCAACAACAAGCTATATAGTTTTACAGTGGAATATTATGCAGCCATTCAAAGTAATATTGTAGAATAATTAATGAAAGAAATTGTCAGATATTAGTGAAAATAATATATATGAAGTTACATCTATATACACATATGTGTGTAAAATACTATTATTTTATATCTTTATAAACAATATATAAAATGATTTCATGTGTGCATGTGTGTGTGTGTGTGTATATATATAGTTGTGAGTGTGAAGAATATATATGACAAAATATTCGTGGTGATAGTTATAGGTTAATTATAGAATTGTTGCTGACTTTTCTTTTTCTTAACTGTTTTTGTATCTTCTGAGCCAGATATAATGCTTGTATATTATTTTAGAGAGATTTTTGCTATAGGGCACATGTGCTCACCAGAGAGACAGAATGTGAGAAATCACACACACACACACACACACCCCCAGGGGGATGGCCACACTGCAATCCCTTCTCCTCCATTCTTCTCTCAGGATTTTTGGGCATGGACACACATGCACCCAGTATGAGTTTTAAGTAGCCAGGTCGGGGATTCAAACCACGGTTGACTATGTGGGAGTCCAGAGACATTATCATTCTGCTATCTGCTGGTCCTTATTATTTTAATAATTAGAAAAAAATTTATTTAAAGGTGGAAGTAATGTCAAACACAATCTTGAACCATTGTTCTGCAAAGAATGTTATGAATTGGGACTTGAAAAGAAAACAAGGTTTTATTATTTCATGCTAGCTAAATATACATCTATTTGAGGCTAGAGAACAGGAGTGGAGTCTTTGACAAGGATTATATGGTTGCAAGAAATATATAACTTGAAGAAAAAAATGTATTAATAAGATGTAAAGTATCTGAGAGAGTACAGCTTTCCTAGAACACAGAGATGCAAAGTTATCTGGAGCTCAAGTACTTACATTCTCTCTCTCTCTCTCTCTCTCTCACTCTCTCTCGCTCTCTCTCGCTCTCTCGCTCTCTCTCTCTTCTCTCACTTTCTCCTGATTTCTCACTGCTTATCAGGTTGACTGTCTAGACCCCATGTGACCATAATTTCAGGCATTCAAAAGAGTATCTCCAGAGTTCTTTGATAGTTCCAGATCTATAGGAGAGACATTACTGACTCTAGCATGTATCAGTTAGTTTAATCACATAACAAACCCTTGGATTTATCCTCAGATCTGTGGGTACATTCTTTGGGTCTAGGCAAGGCTAAGCTGATCTTGGCTGAGTCAGTTAACTGTGAATTAGCCATGGAATGACCAGTCTAGGATGACCTCTCCGGGAATGGTTTGCCTTGCTGTGGTCTTATCTAGCAGGGTGAGCCTAGGCTAATTTGCATTGTGGTCTCAAAGTTCCAAGAGGGAGAAAAGAAGTGTGTTACGGCTTTAAGAGGCCTATTCTCAGAATTAGTGTTTTGCATCGCTATATGCTAGTAACCAAAGTAAGGGACTAGGCCAATCCAGACTCAGTGGCTAGAGAAATAGACCTCTGTCAGGAAGAGAGCAGTCACACTGTCGGGAGTATAGTTACAAGGAAGGAAAGATACCGGCCATATTTGTAAATTGCACATACTCCCTCAGGACCCAGGCTGAGATAGGCTCCCTCTATTAGCTGTGCCACAGTAACATTTCCACCTAGTGCCCTTGGCTGATGTAGCAGGACAAGAGACAAACTGGTGTACTATGCATAAGCTTTTTACTGTTTCAACCTGGAAGTGACACTTACCATGAATACCTCATAGCCCATGGCCAACATCTGTCACATGGGCTTCACCTTAAGGCAGTGGAAAAAATGAGTCAATAGAGTATTTGGTGAGCAACACTGTCTCTACCATAGTGAAATGTCCAAGAACTAAAATAAGTATTCATAAGATCAGTATCAGCAAAGCGGAAGGGCAGGATAGTGCTATAGAGGATAGTGCTATAAAGCAAATAACTGAAAACCATGTTTACCATAAAGGTATCAAGAGTTATGTGAAGCCTTTGAGGAATCCCTAGGGCAGAAAGGTGACCCTCAAAGAAAAAGAGTAAATAAGAAAATCCACCTAGTTTAGCAGCAAGTAACCCGAAAGCGTTCCTTCAGACTCATGTAAAGTCGTCCTTAAACTTCAGATCCTACTCACAGAGCTAAGTCAGCCCAGGAGAAAAGGAAGTAGAGTCCCAGGTGGGAACGAGTGTTCCCAAATCAATTGTTGAGAAGTGCTAAGGTCATAGTAAAAAACATGCAGCTGAATATCAAGGGACAAGAAAAAAGGAAAAGGAATCCCAAGCAATAAGGTTAGCAGTTTAGAGAGGCTGAAGCAAGGTGAAATAGGGAGTAAGGGATAAGTCCAGATAGCGATTAAAATTGGAAGCTTGCATGAGTCTCTTCAGTATGGGAGCTACAAGCTGGAAGGAAGGATCAGTCCTCTCAAGGCTGTGCAGTATCTGGTTGTAGGACTGGGAGACAGACTGAAGACACACCAGGCCAGGTGCTTGGAATTTCAGACTTCAGCCTTTAATTTCTGCATTGACCCCTACCCACCCATTTTGGCTTCCTCATCTCGTTGGCCTTCTTAGCATCTTGTCCCTGCTAACTGCTTTCTCCAGTTTCTGACACCTGAGATTTTAAATTTGTGCAACAACCCAAAAACTTCCCATGAGAGAGTCAATTTTTTTAATAAGGTGCAATGTACAAAATATTAGTCACAACTGATGAAAAGGGTTTTTTTTGTTTGTTTGGTTTTTGTTTTTTTTTTTTGTTTATGCCTCCCAGAAAATACTGTAGCTGCCAGATAGGGCAAAAATGCTCTCTGAAGAGGCTGCCACTCTCTACTCCCCATGTGTATTTAGCCTAGTATCTTCCAAAGTATTGGTTCAGCAAGAGAGAACAAAAGTTGTTGACCTATGCACCACACTGGGTTTAGGGAGAGATGGAAGGAGGAGAGCCTTGCTTGACCTGTTGTCCATTGCCTTGCAGGTCAGTGGGACCATGTACAACACTGGAAGACATGTGTCCCTCCGCCTGGACAAGGAGCACTTGGTCAACATATCAGGAGGGCCCATGACGTACAGCCACCGACTGGAGGAGATCCGGCTGCACTTTGGAAGTGAGGACAGCCAGGGGTCGGAGCATCTCCTCAATGGACAAGCCTTCTCTGGGGAGGTAGGTGGGTTTGTCAAAACATGAAGGTTAAGTGTCACAAGATTTGGCATCTGTTTATGTCGAGGGGGATAACAGATGTAGTCTGTGAAATGAGAAGATCTATGCTGCCTTTCTCTGTCTGTGTTTTGCAGGTTGATACAGAAGTTGATGACAAACTTTAAGTATATTCCAGGAAAAGCTTCAGTGAAACTGGTCATTTTCTTCTGAGTCATCAGTACAGCTCTTTGAGACTCAGACCCTAAGATGTAGCTAAAGCATTCTTTCAACCCCAAACCCTGGTATTTTATATATGTCTTCCTTGACACTTACCTGGGCAATTAACCTCTCCTATGTCACATATGATAGCATAGATTCAGAATTCTCCCGTCTGGTAGAATGGGTCTTATTTGCACAGAACTATAATGCACTGTGAAATAAATGTCGACAACTAAATAGTTTGCCTGAGTTTCTGCAAAATGGAAATGTCACCCTGTGCCACCATTAGCAGCGAGTGTCACTGGGTGCCACCATCAACCAAACTGAGCTCAGGCCACAGCACTAAGCCCAACCACAGTTTCAGTGAGAGTATGAGAACTACAGTTTAAACAGATGTTATTTCTCAGATGACACTTGACAAGGAGGGTGTAGTTAATTTGACCTGTTTTACATCCATTATACTTGAGAGTGGCTAGCAATGAGGGATCAGGGATCTTTATATGCCAAACACTCTGTAACTAGGTTGCTGCTTAACAGTTCTCAATAATGGATGTCAGGAAGGCTTTGAAATTACCTAAGTATGTATCGCATATGGTCTTTTCATTTTTGAAAATAGAGATCCTTTTTTTCTTTTTTTAATGTAGTAAGGCTATACACTGAGAAATAGACCCAGAACCTTAATGAGTCCAGTGGCCAGATTTTAATGTGTGTTTCAAATGCAACAGCTAAAAGCCTGCCTAGGCACTCAGCTAGTTACCAGGGATACAGGAGTTCTTTTGGTTTTTTGGTGTTTTTTTGTTGTTGTTGTTGTTTTTAAGAAAAAAAGAGCTCCTACGGCAGAGGAGCACAAAGTGTGCTATATTCAAATCATTAAGTCTAATGTCATGCTGTAATGGAGACGTACAAAGGCCCTAGGAAACTCAAAGGATGAAGTGACAAATTTTACTTGGAGGGGTCAGGTGATGCTTCACAGAGAAGGTGCCCTTTGAACTGGGCTGTGAAGAGAGACAATGAAGAACAATTTAAGAGCATCAGGGCTTTAGAGTGAAAGGACCTGAATTTGTAACTCCTGCTTTGATATATACTATGTGATCTTGGGATGTTACTTGATATTTCTAAAGCACAGTTCAGATCTTTCTCAAGGTTACTTCTTAAATTAAGTAGAATTCAAGGTACGAGGAGCCTAAAAGTACTCAATGACTGATAAACAGCAAAGATAGAGTAGGAAATGTGGGATAACATGAGCAAAGACCCCAAGGCATGTCAGGGCAATGTGTGTTGGTGAAGCTGCGCCTAGATTTCACTAGCATCTTATCTGTGATCTATTAGTAATGGCTGCATGGACAATGAGGTTGAGTAGGAGTATGAATCTCTTCCTATATCTGTGGGGGAAAAAATGCTAGGATTGATTAGGAATGTCTGCTAAAGACATTGAATTGGAAAGCTGTCAGAAGTTGCAGTCCTGAACTAGACTGTAACAGAACAATGATGAAAGCAGGGCACGTACAATTTGAGAGTAACTCAGGATGCCAGGCTGAATTCAAGAATATTCAAAATGAGATCAACTCTTTTAATAGATAGGTTGTTTTAAGATTTGTAATTATTTTATCAGTTGGTTTACTTGTTCCTTTATTTGTTGTTATTTATTTTTCTCCCCACTAGGCTATCACTACACCGTTTCAAAGTAGAAATATCTGTTACATGAATGAGTGAAAAAATATAGATGGTCCCTAGGCTATAATCTTGACATTGTAGAATTCCTTAGTGTCACTCATTTCTTCAGTATGTAATAAGGCTGTTTTGTAACTTGTACCTTAACTACAATTTTGATATAAATGAATAGCTCCAAAATCCTTAAGGGAAACATTTGATCTCTCATGTATTAATTTTCCTAGACCTGCCCCCTACCACAGGTTTCATGTGCTCCAAAGAATCTGCATTTTAAAAGTACCCAGGAGAGTCTGATGTTAGGTTTATGAAGCACTCCCTCAATAGCACATTAGTAAGTGTTCTCAATAAAGAAAGCATTCAATGAAGAAAGCATTTAAACAGAGTTGCAAATAGGACATAATTTGGAACATGGTCAAAATATTTGTGTTTGAGTCCTTTCCCAAATCAACTAAAACAGAGTCTCAAGGGATGAGATCCAAGTATGTGTATTCATAAAACTTCTGCCAAGAGATTTTGGTTAGTTACCTCTATGCCAATTATCACCCAAATTATCCTAGTTTTCTAAACAATGAGGAGTTGGTCAATAGAACCATATGGCACATAAACTGCAGGGAGGGTGTTCACTGGCAATTGTTTCCTTGAAATGGCAAGGCCAGGTGCTGTCTGGACCAATGGTACTTGGAAACAGCTTCCCGAGCAGAGAAGTCACACACACGCGCACACACACACACACACACACAATGTTCCAAGACAGAATTGAGCATTAGCCTCAATATAAGTACAGTTTTATCTTCCCCTTGCAGACTACATTGGTTTTATTATTTCTAACCAAGACCCTCCATACAAGTGGACTACAGATAAATTAGTATGAATTTAGGTGCAAGAGATCAGAATTTGGAGGCTCTAAAACAATGTCATATGGAATATATTAAGTCCTTGAGAAAGTCATGATGTATTTTTCTATGTTTTTCTATACAAAAAAAAAAAAAGGCATCATAACTTCCCCAATAACCCAATGGTTGCATAGGTGATTGGCCCTTGAGATATTTGATGGACTCCAGTAAGCAAGAATAAATTGGCATCTTCTATGTTGCATGAAGAAAGAGACCTAGGGCCAATGGGTAGCAGCTACAGAAAGATGGAGTTCAACTAAATATAAGTCCTAACAATGAAGTCTGTCCACTAATGTAATGAGTTTGCCTTTGAAAAACACTGAATTCCTATCGCTGGAATGATTAAGCCTTGAACAGAATTTGCACACTTCATAAAAGTGACACATATCCCAAAAAGTGGAGGGACTGTTCACTTTAACGCACCTTCTAATGTGGAAATCCTGCATAATCTATAATTTCCCTATAGAAATTTCCTCCAGTTGGATTCCATGGAGGGTCACCCTCAGTAAAAGTAAATATATCTCACGCTGTAGGTTAATTTTTTATTTTGTGCCATCTTCAAAGTCAGTTTTGGTCTCTATTTTTGGCTATCCTTTGAGAGGACCCAAGTAGACACTTGTAGTAACAAAGCATGTGTTTATTTTGTTGACAGTGAATAATCACACTGCCATCTGCCCCATCTTTCATTGCTGATCGTGATAAGTCAATTAATGCTGGGCATTTTCCTTGGCACGGTGCAACAGTCGTTATCTGAAGAGCTATAGATTAATTGCAGTCTTGTCTAGTGAGGTTATTGTAATTGATGGTAATCATTTGCTTTGTTTTATAAAGCTGCAAGGATGTATGACACAGTCAGCAACTGCATTTTTATAAAAATTATTCATGTCCTACACAGAGAACTCCTGGATGCCTTGTTGGGGTGGTGATAAATGAGCATATTCAGGAATTCAAATGTCTCAATTCTTTTAAGAAGGGAAAATTAACTGTTTTTAATAAGTAAGACCCTTAGCTTGCTAATCATGCCTAAGTGGTTAGATTAATGTCCAGTAAAAAGTAGAGTATTTATGAAAAGAAACAAATACAGTAGCCAGGCAAAAGATAATATTCGAGAAGAATCAGGTCTGTGGATTAAGTTTCAGTCATGAGGCTAGACAAAGACTCTTATGTGGGGAAAATTAGACAACGTCATTTTAAAAAACCTGTTTGACATTCTTTTCAAAGAGGTAAAGGGGTGCATTGACAATTCTACCAGTCTCTTCACAGGGTGTCAGAGGCCAGACCCTCCTGTGAATTATGTCCACCTTCACACAGCTATCGTGCTTTTGCTGTGTGCTGGGCTTAAGCGCCACAGGAGTCAGAGCCCAGTTTCCACCCAAAGAGGGATAAAGTCTATGGAGAGCCGTGTGTATTGATAACACAACATGATGTGGATTATACTCGCGCTTATTCTGAAAAGGGATTATGAAATAGGCCTCTCCAGAGCATATGAAAGAGAGAGTGTGTGGACAGCTGTGCAGCCTGCTGCCCTTGCCTCCTTCTCGGAAGGTGGGGTAGAAACGCACTGTCCTTCCTAGATCTTCGCCTCCAGAGCCTCTCACTCTGCTCAGAACACTTTAGGGGGAGGGAAAGTCCATAGTTGTTGCTATGGCAATGTGGGTACAATTAATTTGTTCCATTAAAAGGGGGGGAGTAAAGGTTGGCTATAAAACATGGTTTTCTTTCTCTTCTTTTTTTCCTTTTTCCTGTAGCTCTGAATCAGAAAAGAGTAAACACTGGTCTCAGAACCAACAACTGAGACTAAACAACAGAAAACACAGGCCTTGTCTTCTTCCAGGCATCAATCATCTGCATCCTTGAGAGATTGGCTTCACTAAAACAACACAAATTTGTAGGAATAAGCAACTAACACCAAATTGTCCTGAAGTGTGCTAGGATGCGAGAAGTGCTGAGGAGCACAGAACTGAGAACCAGGGCCCCAGTAGGCGGCCAAGGGCTGGGAGGAGTGCTCAGGGTATCTAATTAGCACTTTGCTGGGAGCCTGGGACCTCCCGGTAGAGATGCCCTGTTGGCACATTGCAGATTGAGAGGGAATGAGAATTGAGATGTTTAAGAATAACAGGCTCCCGGGTAATACACATGGAAGTGCTGCTCCTGTGCCCCGGTAAAGCTCTTACCTCTCTTCTGGGCACAAGCTCCGCCCCTCTATGCTCCTTCCATCACCTTCTCCTTTATAGCTTTTCA